TCAGCTCAAATCTGGATTACGCTGGCCTGTGATCAACCAGAGCCTTCTGAAGGAGTCCTGTTACCTATCTTTAAAGGTGCTCAGTATTGCAGTCCATCAGGCCATTTTATGCAGAACACGTTGGTTTGTGAATTTAAAATGCTTTTACCGATTAAAAGAGTTGGCAGAATTGTCGTCATACTGTCCTCTCCATGCATTACCACTGTCTGTTCCACTGAATGCTTGGTTTGGGGCAGGAGGTGGAGCTAAATCTCCATCTAAACTCATTTGTTGTACCTCGGCAGAAGACAGTATCTTGATACTCTGGACGCAGCTCACAAACTCCCTGAGAAAAGTTTTCAGAGTTATTTTGTGTTCTTTCAACTACAAACTAAAACAAGAACAGTTTCTAAACACTTACTCCCAAGGGTCATCACCAACAAGTAATATGTCGTTTTCATGGTCTACATAGACAAGTTTCCATTCAGATCTTTGCGGATCTTCGAGTAGTCCCTTGATGCCAAACATACGGGCCAGATCATGCCTAAGTTCATCATACCCCTTGTAACGAGTGACATCAATAGTTCTACCAACAGAGCCACGTTTTTGAACCTGCATAATTTCTGGTAATCAGGCGATTCTTGTTGTTTCCAAACCATAAAGAGAAAGAAATTAGATATAATCTAATTCATATTACAGCTCCTTCGTGTAAGTGTTCTTGAAGAGTATAAAGACGAGTAATGCTTATTGTACATAATTGTGAACAGATTTATTCGTGATTTATTTTTATTATTTTTTTTTTTGGGGGGGGGGGTATCACATCATCAATCAACCTGTAAACCAATCTGTACAAGTAGCATTACTCTAAAGATTTTTTTTCTTGGCTAGGTGAGATTAGGTAGGGGAACAGTTTGAAATGTGAGAGAGATGAAAACCTTTGTGTATGTTCGCGAGCACTGAGTCTGGTTTGTCCGCAACCCACTATTTAAAACACCAGCCTCATTGATTGCAACATCATTTGAACAACCGGCATTAAATGACATATTTGGCACCCCAAATGTTTGAGAATTGATTCCAGCTGAGGAAAATTCTGTCTCAATATCCCTTGGATTACCATTGTAATTAGAGAGCAAGTTTTGGATATCCTTTCCGGAATCACAGCCCCTTGACAACAAAGCATCAGGAGTCAATCCATCAATATTGGCCGTGAAAGTAAGACTGCTCCGGGGATGGGATTGAATGTCACCATCCAAGCCGGTAAGTGAAAAGTTCTGCTGCCCACTAGCATCCAAGCAATATGATGTTTCAGATGAAGCTGCATCCAAGTGATCATTAGCCGTACTGCTGTATTTAGGCTGCTCTGATCCTCTATAACTGGGTAATTCATTTTTTACTTGGACATCAGACTTGCTACGTGTCTCTGGAACTAAATTAGGAACAGGATGAACAACGGAATTATCCAGTAATGTTGATGACCCAGGTTGATTTCTGTTCAGAAAGTTCAGCGGTGAAACTTGCATATTATTTGTACAAGGCGAGGTTGAACATGATGCGATGGCCCCATCAGCAGGTTCAGGATGTGATTTGACTGTGGAAGTAGACTTTTGCTGGCCATAGAGTTGGTTGACGGGAAATTGTGGTGATTGCAGAAGTGTTGATGCTGTAAAGCCGGTGCTGCTCAATTGCTGAGGTAGCTGGTTTTGTTGAAGAGCCTGCTGTTGTTGGGGAAACGAAGGCTCCCAAAAAGAACTTAAAGGGGATGACATCTGTTGCTGTTGCTGCTGGAGTTTCTGGAGAATCTGCATTTGCAGCTGATGTTCAGAAAGACTTGGTTGTGATGTCTGTTGCACTTGTGGCTTCTGTGTTGAGACCGGCTGCAGAAACTGTGGCTGAGTTTGTTGCATTTGTGTCTGCTGTTGCTGGGGCCTCTGCAAGAGGCTAGATGGCTGTTCAATTTGTTGCTGAAACTGCATGTCCTGAGGTAAAGATGTCATGGGAAGTGTTATTTTGTTAGCCAAGGGAACATTTTGCTGCATTTGTGTATTGCCTGTTAGTAACTGTTGTTGCTGAAGTTGTTGGGAGTACATTGCTGTTTGCTGTGAATTTTGATTTGGAATCTGGTTAGGGGCTACACCATTATTTACAGGGTTTACAGAAGACGGTAAAATTTGCTGCAGCGGCTGCTGTTGGGGCCAACCAGAAGAAGGCTGCTGCTGAATTTGTCCAACTTGTTGATTTTGTTGATTGATTTTGCTGAATTGGAGATTTTGTGAAGCGAATGCTGGGGATTGGAAGTTCAACAGCTTGGAGCGGTCATCGGTTCCAAGGTTACCATGTAGGTTAGCTGAAGACACCATGTTCGGGAAAAGTCCTGATTGATTAGCTGAGAACTGCTGATTCTGCTGCATGTTCATCCACTGGACTAAACTCAGTCCAGGGAATATTGAGCTCGAGGTGTCTTTTAAACCAAACTCATCCGCAATCCAGGGCATGCCTCTCTTGAAAATATTCTCTATATCTGCATCATCATCTGTAAAAGCTCGAGTTTGAGGAATATGTGTAAACATTCGCAACAAACTAATGCAAGTTCAACAAATATTTATGGATGAATTCAGTCTCCCATAAACCTATACTAACTTAAAGATTCTCAATCCAAGATCCATTCTTTCCTTATATTGATTTCATATTTGATCTTAACATGATTCTGTAAGATTTTATTTTGAATGTGATATCTGCACAAGCATACATGCTTCTGACAGTAATCATGTGCTAGACAAACTATACCAAATAAAGCTCACGATATAAATCTTGTACTATACAGCTGTTTAACATCCCAGCATCATAACAGATGGCTAAGTGGTCAACAAGGATTACCTGGGAAACCTGGTTGTTTCGAAAACTTGGGTCTGAAAAATGGTGGCGGACAAATATAGAAGGGAGTTACAACAGGTTCGATTTCCCAAATTGATACTCGACTAGGACGTTCCCCAGCAGTAGATTCATCCCATCCAACCTAACAAAGGGAATGCTAATTTATTATCAGTTCTAGAACAGAATAAATGAGAAGGAAAAGACAGTTGTAATAGAATATAACAAGGATAAATCTTTTAAATTCATCTATACCATGATTAGGAATTAACCAAGGTCAGTTATGGCATAAAAGAAACATAAAATTGGAAAGTAATAATGCACATATTTGAAGACGAGCCAAACCGAAAAAGAGGATGCAGCTTTTAGCATGGTTGGAGAACCTAGCTAAAAAACTTATTATAGACATGACATATTTACCAAGTCATATACTATCCTAGGTGAGCAATGGAAGAATTGTAGATTCAACAATAGAAGAACTGTGATCAGATTTTTCTGAGCCTAAATGCTCATGAACATACTTAATATAAGGTAAATGTTGAAGAAATTCAGGAAAATGAAAAGAGAACCAGTACCTGAAGATTACGCCACTGTGAATTTTTCCATCGCACTGGATCCAAATCACCAATACCAGTTATGGTCCCCATGTACCTTCGGACTCCGGATTCCTCGGTCTCAAACATCATCCTGAAACGCATGCCTAATGAAACTTGGGTATACATTGCTTTGTTATACTTCGCTAGAGGAATCACAAATTCAGAAGGGCTAGCCCTGTAAAATTCGAAGTTTCATTAGGGGATCAAAATTTTTCACAAAGTTTACTTTAACAGCTGAAAAAGGTATAAATTTGACTACCTTGGGTTGTAGAATATTGTAAATGGGCTATTGTTTGCAGCCGCATGAGCTGCAGCTGCAAGAATTCCTATGTGCATGCTATCACTAGATATTACAGACGAGGAGATCGCAGGCTGCTGTCTCGTGGCGTGTCTTATACCCAAGAAAAGCTGTGACTTTTCATCTCTACATCACACTTTTGCAGTTCAGTGACAAGAAAGATAATGCTAAGAAAAAACTGAGAGAATGTTTGGCCAAGCAAAAAACGAGTAAAAATCATATTTTGTTTCCAAACATGCTTATCTTAAAACTTTTTTAGCTTTAGCCAGTTATTATCTTCATTCAAATAGTTTTTCATACCTTATAAAGAGGACGGAATCGCCCGCTGCAAGTCTTTTAGAGCTAACAAATACACTCCATCCGGTTGTCAACAGGTGCCTTTTTGGTTGACCTGGAATCAAGCACAAGTAGTCTTTGACTTTTCGTTTCAAACTATTAATAAAATATTTCTCAAAAGCTTCGTTCAAAGGAAGTGTATCCTAATGAGAATTGCATGGCATCCTACTCGTGTAAAGTAGGCAGAAGCGAAAAAGGAAAGGAACCAGATCTAGAGATTGAGATGCAGAAAGGGTACAAATCAAAATGTCACCATGAAATGAACTTGAAATATTTATACAGGTAAGAATATTTGCCATACTCAAAAAGTAAAATCAAATTGTGGCCCCACCCAGGGGCGGAACTAGAAGAGTAGAGTTGTGAGGGAAAATTCCCCAAAATTTTAATTGTGGAGGGCAAAATTGAAAATCATAAGGATTTTTTTTTTTAATTCTTGAAAAATCCATTGCAAAATCTTGGATTTCAAATTTAGTATCGGGGCAGTGGACCCCACTGTCCCCACGATAAATCCACCCATGGCCCCAGCAATACCTAATATCATCTTTTAATAGATAAATAATAATAATTTACATAAAGAGGGAATAGGATACCATTTCTCAGAATCTTAATTTAGTGACAAAATTAACCAACCAATATGATAATCAGATGAGCATGTTTGATCTTAATTTTTTCGAAGATGTACTGACAATTTGCTGCATACAGTCTATCTACAAGCAATATACAGGAAGATAGGATTCTAATATAAAAGAATTACTGTTTTTTGTCATAATATCTTTTTCTTGATACATCATTTCAAATTTCAAAACAAATCGAGTACCAAAGGAGATACATGGAAACAGAGAGTTCTAGAAGAAAATACCCCTATAAATATGTCTGAATGTCCATGATTGGTTATGCAAATCTTTAGCCACTAGCTCCTGAGAAGGAGGTTGCATCGAAAAATCCTACAAGACAACTTCCAGGTTAGTAGCAGAATGAGCTGCATTTGAGCATTTCTGGCTGTGCTTACTTATTAGAAAAGTATGTCACCACTACATACTTCCAATAAAAATAAAGCACAGCCAGACTTACTAACAAATTTACCATCTCAATTTTACGACAGAAATGTCAGATGCTTAGCACAAACCAGAAGTGGAAAGATCTTCTCAGCTGCACGACGAGGTACAGAGAAACCGCCATGTGTACTTGTATCACTTGCTGTAAGAGTTTTGCAGAAGAACTCAGAAGGTTGTCTGCTTTGCTTAAGTCCCATCTCAGATAAAAGTAATGCTTCCTGGTCGTACTGTATAATGAATAAATTCAACGCTTCTTCAGATCACTTATTATGCCTAACCACATTATTATTTGTAAAGTAATGATACGTTGATAAGTTCTCAAATGAAATACTGACTTACATTGCTCACAGGTTGAAGAGTCATCTGAGCATAGACTTCATCAGTTTCAGTATCAGCCTGAGCAAAATAAATAGATAAATATAAGATTTTTCACAAAATTATTTATATAATGTTGAGGTTTGGCTAATATTCGAGGTCACACAGTTACTTCTCTGTTTTGCTAAGCTAAAAAATAAATAGAAGTTCCTTATTGTTTGAAATAACTTTTTATTTTCCAAATATGTATGATTGGTTGTGTTTAAATGTAAGCTAAACTTACAACGAAGCCCCTGTTTGGCTCAGATTTTAATCAAATTTTAATCTTAGTCAAAATCAAACAATCAATATTAACTACATATTTCATGGATCTCACAATTTTTCAATTACACAATTCAAAAACTTCTATCAAAATCTACTAAAAATCTAATTTTAATTCCCATCAAACACCCTCTAAGTTAATTATTTTCCCAAATAGGATTTTCAAAGTTACTGTATTTTACAAACAAAACTCGCTTAGATTACAATCTAGAAAAGTAACTTTTAAACTCAGGTAAACATTAACCTTTTCTTACTTTTAAGTAAAGACATTACTTATTTTAGAAGAAACTCTTGCATTGTCAAAATAAATAACTTATTTTTTCAACTCTTACCAAAAATTATTTTAAACTTACTTAATTACATATAAGTAAACCTTTGAAGGTTGGCCAAACACGGTCTTTGTTATTATATTTGCACCAACGTTGCATGCAACCTCATTGATGTCACTGACACTAATTTACAGCCTAGATAGATCAAATTGACTATCATCAAGTACTTATCATGTATAAAAGGCCAAGGAGGAAAATAAATCCCAACACTTGTATATTCTTCTTTATAAAAAAAAAAAAAATGTTAAAAAGTTTCTATCCCTCTATAGAAGCGTTCATACATGTAAGGTGACACTATGCAGCCTACAGATCAACTTTGACGGAAGGTTTGGATAACTTGGGATGCTATCGGCTTCCTTTTGCATTGATGCTGCCACCTACAAATAGTATATATAAAAGTATTTATCAGATATCGAGTGTAAAAAATTGCTATATTTCTTGAAATGGAGAGAAAGGACATACTTGTTCACTATGACCTTGAGGAAAATAGACCACAAGACTTCCCACAGGAGGCAAAGAAACCAATGGGCCCGCACAAGCATGCCATAACTCTGAATTAATCAAAATTTTCCCTCCTGTTCCAATGAAAACAGAAACTTCATTACACGAAGCTTGAAACTTCAAAAATGACAATAAAATTAAGATATGTTACTTGTAATACAATGTAATTTGTGATTTCAAATGTCTACGAAAGGAACTTCTATTAGGAAAATTGAGATATAAATTGTTACAAAAGGATTTTCTTAGATTTTGAAACTATATTCTCCTACTGTTCAGCATTTACATCCTAAGCCAACTGTTAAATGTATAGTTCATCTATTTTCTTCGTCAATCAATTTAGCAATAGTCATAAACTGCAAAATATAACTGGAATAGAATATTTTACAGCAAAATTCAAAGTTAAGGCGTAGTAGCAGCAAATTTAAAAACAGAAAAACAGTCACTGAATTCCCCAGCAGTCAAGATTGATGCCAGACAAGAGGATAATGAAATTTGGACAGCAGATGCCAGCTGATGGGCTTATGATGAAGTTCATTAAAAAGGTACAGCAAGCTGACAGTATGGTGCTGCACTTGATTTAGGCAAAACTTATGGATCCAACTTCCCAGTAGATTCCCAGATGTTGATTTTAGTTTTCAAGACGTCATTTAATCAGCAGCAATTGGTAGTACAAAACGCTTCTGAAACACTCAATCACCACTCCCCGAAAAACAAAAAAGAAACAACAAAACAATAGAAGCACCATCCAAAAGAAAAGGAAAGGCTTAGATAACCTATTCAAGGGGAATAAAATTTGTAACTGGTAAGGGAATTGCATATTAAACATTCCACACTGAAAATTGATAGATCTGCATGAGCATGAAAAAAAAAAAAAAACAAAGAATGCCAAAGAGTTGGGTATGCATCAGTGACCGCAATGGTGAAGACCACTCATTAAGAAAGCAATGAGTTGCAGGAGAAAATCACATAAAGAATTGAATACAAAGCTAGTACAAATTTCTGCTTTTAAGATCTCAAAGAAAGACTGTTAATCAATGAAAATTACAATCCATTATTAACTTGAGTAACGGCTTAAATATACGAATTATCATACAGAATAGAAGTTATAACTACATATACAGGCCAAGAAAATGTTATAAACAAACAAAGAATGGAACAACCATATATTCATATTTTCCATCCTTAGCGTCCCTTTGCTGAATATGTAAAACGAATAGGCGTGTCTGCTAGTTATCCTCATACTGTACTGATCCAAGGAATATCAAAACCCTAAGCTCTCGAACTTGCCCAAATTTAAGAATTAACAGAGAACCAAAGCTTTTCACTATGATATAAACAGTTAAGAAAAAGCTTCTGAAATCAAATGAATGCAAGTTCTAAGAAATGTAAAAGGACTACTGAAAGTTAACAAACCTTCTCCAGGATTGGCCATATATCCATTGGAAGCAACCTTCATTGTAGCAAAATTCATAGACTAATATCTGCACCTGAATTGAACTTCTTTTTCGAATTTTCTTCTCTTCGGAAACACATAAACTAATTTTTCACGAATCAAATACTCCCAGTTGCAAACTGTTCATCAATAATGCTTCCAGAAATTCCCAGAAAAATTTCTTAATTTTCTCACGGAACCCAATTCGTAAGTATCATCTGAAGTCAATCCCCACACCTCGTTCCTCAATGAAACTAAACAGGGGCTTTGTTTCATTACTATCCCACAAATTTTCAAACTTGGAAAACTGAAATAAACAAAACAAAAAATTGATTCTGTAAGCTTCACCCAAAACCAAGTAAAAATCTTCACTCCATTTCTATATCAAATCACAGATTGAATCTCCTTCACATTATTTAAAAAGAAAAAAGAAAACAAATCCTCCATGCCCAAAAGTTTCTCAACTGAACCTACATATATGTCACAAGATTCAAGTAAAAAATCAGCCCTATAATGCAATCAGACCCCCCAAATCCTCAGCTTCTTCAGGTAATGATCATACAATTTCACCACCGGAAAACTTCAAAACTGAAAATAGTCAAAGAGAAAACAAGATCACTAGAAATGGAAGCTTAGCGGCCTATAATACAGAAAAGGGCCAGCAAGAAAATTTTCAGGCACGGCGGAGAAGCCAAGATCAAGTTGGTCAGGTGGTGGTGGTGAGAAATCTTAGAACTCGCCTGAAAATCTGAAGCAAATGAAAGCAAAGCTGCTTTTTTAAGTATATAATATAGTACAGCGAACGTTACAGTACATTTGCACCAATAACAAATATTATTATAAGGTTTTGCAACCATAATTAAAGAATTTACTGTGTATGGTAAGTCTTGAACTGTTGAATTATTGTGGGTTTTTGTGTAACGAGAACAAGCCGACATAAGGTGAACTGGAGGTGGTTAGATAAAGAGGCAAATGTCCTGGCGTGTTTGCTTCTTTAATTATTCTCTTGTATATTAATCATTAATTTACTCCCCTGTTTAATTCTTGACTAACTCTAATGACGGAGTTGACCTCACTCATTACAATTTTAAATTTTTAGTTGAGATTTCAAAGTACTTCCGTCAAATCGATGATAAAAAATTAAAGAAATTTTTTTGAAGTGAATAGACTCAATCTTAACTCAGGATCGTTTTCTTATTATTTTTACATCTTGTAACAGAATTTATAAAAGAAATCATCTTAATTTGTATTCGAAAATTAAGAACCAAGGTTTGACCCAAAGAATTCGAAAAAATTGAATGAGGAGCCAAATGAATTTGACTTTACTTTCATTCTTTCCTTTTTTTTTAGAAGAAGTTACATTTAGGTTCCGTTTTATTCTCATTTTTATAAGAATGAGAATGAAAAATATAGTCATTACGGATCCCATACAAGAAATAGAAAATTAAATATGATAGCTTGATGTGATGGATAACGATTATTTTATTTTTGTGACCAAATAATGGGAATTAAACGGGGCCTTAATCAATTTTCTCTAAAAACTCTGAGTAATGTTATTCATTATTATTGATGTTAAGCACTAGTTTAGATGGTATTATATGTCATTAAATGATAAATTCATTTAAATGCAAAATCACGTGACTTATTTAATTGTACATATACAACATAGACATCTAAACTTATATTCTAGCATCGATGATACTAAATATCATTATTCAAAAGCTCATTTAACTAGAAGAAGCACGAAATTAGCCCAAAAAAGCTTCAAAAATCATGCCAAAATGGGCCCAAGTGCATGTTTGGGTAGAGATTAAACTAAAATTTAAGTGTGATTAATTATATATTCTTCTAAATATGTAGATAATAAACATATAGTAGTTTTGAATCCCGTGAAATATAGGAATAAGAAATTTATTTAATCAACTTAGATTTATAAATTTAGTCACCTTCCTAACATGCACGAATTTCAACGATTTCATTTTTCTGTTATTTAGGCATAATTGGGTCGGTTTCTAGATCAAAATTTTCCTGTCAATTTTTCAAAATATTAGTACTTGTCTAACAAGGTTAACATTTTTCTTCTTCCTTAATTCCATCCTCACGAAAAAAGTTAAAAGAACTTTAATAGATTATCACTTATTTATCACTCATTTTTACTTATTTATAATATAAATTGATTATAATCATTTTCCAAACATCTACTTTAGTAGATGTAGCTAGCTAGGCTGTTAAGAAAAATACTCTAATTCTCACCTCAGTCCTGGCCTGTTTTTAACCCTGTTCACAGCCTCTATTCGAGTAGCATCTCTCAGAAAAATATATGATTTTCTATAAAAAAAAACATGTTATCTGTACTGACTTTTACAAGTTCCATACGCAAAGGTTTTAGAGATTTTGCCATTTTTAATGAACTCTTTAATTTGTTGGTCCTACCAAAAAATATATGAATTTGAATAATGCTATTTAATATTAATAGTGCTATAAAATCTAATTTGATGTCAACATATAATAGGTCCTAATAAATGAGTCATAAATCATTGTATTTAATTGAACTTATAATTTAATAACACAAATGATATCACTTAGATCGGTGTTAAGCACCGATTAGTCTTACCAAAAAAATATATGAATTACAATTGAATTAAATTACTTGTACACACAAAGTCTACACCTTGATTGACGTCCTCACACGTGTTAAAAATTCGGTAGTTGATTGAAAAATATCTTGTCAAGATCAATGTACCAAAATCTGTCAACTTACATTATGTTGACATTTATGTATATATAGAATGGTTTTGTTTATTGTACACTACCAGTTAACAGCTTCTTCGACAATACCCTTATGTGTAGAAAATTTGGATATTGATTCAAAAAGGTATCGTTAAAATTAATGTACAAAAATCTATCAACTCACATGATGTCAAACTTGATGTAAAATATGATATATGTGTGTGTGTGTGTGCACGTAGCATGATTGTACTCTGAATTATGCTAATTGTACAATGTTGTTTGACTAATTCTTTGACGGAACCCTTTTGTACAGAAAATTTGGCCATTGTGATTGAAAAAAAGTATTGTTAAAATCAATGTGCAAAAATCTGTCAATTCATTTGAGTTAAACTTGATATAAAATATGACGTACATGTAGTATGATTGAAAATATATTGAGTGATCAATGTGTTTCTTCTTTCAGCTGAGCATTTTAAAATGGTTAATTTAGCAATAATTTAATAGCAACTTTCTCCAAGATAAACATCTTTTAAGCTTCTATAAATATGGATTTTCTTTTTCATTTAAAAGTTTCTTCATCAAATATCGAATTTAAGCTTCTATAAATATGGCATTCATTCCCTCAAAATAAAAATGACATTCAGCTAAAACTTTTTTTTGTTTCTCTTTCTATATTTGGTAGACATTTTTCAGAATAGACTGTTTGAAAAATTAATTTCTATATAATGTGTGGTTAAAAAATAAATAAATAAATTATGGATCCAAGTGAAAGATTATTTTATTCGAAAAATGTATAATTAAAAATAAGTTTCAAAAAAAAAAATTTAAAAATAAGATTAAACAAGAGCTAATTATCGAACCATGTATTGAATTTCAGTGTCGATGATACACTTCCTTTTCCTCTTGGAAAGTTATGAGGGCATCTCCAATGATTACACCATTGCACTATTTTGCACCATTTTTTGGTGCAAAGTTGCTCCAATGTAATACCAAACTTTGCACAATTTTCGTGCAAAATGGTGCAAGGTGAATAGTGTTATACCATATTTAGAATATGGTGCAACACTATTCATTACACAATTTTTTGCACCAAATGGTGCAATATCTATTTTGTCCATATTTTTCATTTTTCAAGATAATAGTTAAGGGTATTTGTGTCATTTTCATTCTATAATGATAATAATGATGATGATGATGATGATAATAATAATAATTATTATTAATTAATTAATTATACTATTAATTATATTATTAAAGTTTATTATTTTTAATAGTATAATCAATAATAATTAACGTTATTGTTAATTTAACGTAAAGTTTAATTCGTAAAGCTTACGTTTAAAATTTAATTTAACGTAAAGTTTATATTATTAAAGTTTATTATTTTTGTAAATTTAAGTAATTGTTTTTCATAAATTAATAATATAATCAATTATTTTTATCAATTTAACATAATATATAAAACACGTGAATAATTTAGTAAACAATATATTTGTTAATTTAACAAAGTTATGATTTAGTAATTTATATAGTTATAAAATAAATAAATTGTCAAAAAATCGAAAGAATGAATAAAATAATAAATCACTATTCATTTGGTGTAATGGTTGGAGAAGAACTTTGATTTGATGTAAGATTTAGTGCAAAATTTGATACAAAATGGTGCAAATTTTGGTGCAGCGTTGAAGATGACCTAATATTAGTACTGTATTACCCATAATACTATACGAGTGTGCTTCAAAAATGAAAATACATATTGCACGAGTGACAAGTTATTATATTAGTACGGTATAAAGACATTTTTACAGACTTTATTGTGCTTCAAAAGTGAAAAAACATGGTGCACGACTGTATTATTGTTCATATTCCAGACTCAAAACAGCTTTTGCTTTGTTAAACTGACCAACTAGGTTAAAAGATCCTCAGACCAGTCCATGTCTGAATCAATGGATACAAAGGCCGTATAAAAATGTAGGGTCCTTTACTTTAAAAAAAAAAAAGTTCAACCCCAACTTTGAGAGCCCCACCGTCCTGTTCCTAAAAATTTGTGAGGGAAGTAAATCGCGGAATGTGCCCCAACAGGCTAGGAAACAAGAGTTGCATGTACACTGCGCCTATAAGGAGTCCAATTCCATGTTTCAGGAATCGAACCCCCATACTGCGGTTGCCAACAAGGCGTGAGATAACATCACTCCTGTCCTTTGCACCACTAGACTATGCCTCGAGGGACAGGTCCTTTACTTTTATGATAATTCCATGGATTAATCTATTTTGGCAGAAAAAATAACAAAAACAATGGTAGACGTACATGTGACAGTCGATGAGTAAATAAAAAAGTTAAAAATAATTTTGCCCATGTTTGAACTTTGTCTTTTCAAAATAGATTTTGCTCGTTTGATGGCCATTATTCTGGAAAAGAAAAAAAGAAAAAGAAGAAGATATTTTGTATAGTGATTTTTTGAAGAATGTGGTTAAAAAATGTAGAAAAGTTTTGAATTTACATATAAAATATTTTATAATGTGAATTTGTAGTTGAAAATGATTATGAGAATTAAAGAGTTTTGTTTTAAAGAGAGACAAAAGAGACTTCATAAAATGTGATTTTTTTATAAAATAAAATAAATTGTGAGGTTGAAAAGTACTAATAAAGTTTTAATTTATATAAAAAATTATTTTATTGAAAGAATATGTAATTGAAAATGAGTTTGAGAAAAAAATAAATTCTAAAAGGCGGGGCTAAAGTTGAGACTCAATAATGCTTTTAACCATATTTTCTTGCTTTTACGAGATTATCTCCTAAAAGTTTGATTGTGCAATTAGTAAAGAGTATTTGCTTCTATAGACAAATTTTATACAAGTCGTTTTCAACACCGTAAGAATCTTATCAGGGTTCTTCTCATGTAATATATATATCTATGATTTCCATGCATTGGAAGCATGTAATTAGGGTTTATTGTTAGAATATAATTTCATTATTAAATGAATTTTGTCCTATCATAAGATTGAGAAAGATGATGAGGTTCAAGTGCTCCACTTTACATCGATCCATTCTCATCAATATACATCCATCAATTAATTTAGT